TTTGTCAGCAAGGTATACTTGTAATCTTAACGCCAATGATTTTCCCCATAGGATTGGAACTAATGTTATGATTAGGGCTAATATAAAGTTTCTTTTTAAACCAAAGTAAATAGAGCGAGGTAAATAGCTAGATGGTGTTTATATCCGTTACAACAAATGATGTTTATTATCAGTACGGGGTTGTGGATCTTGTTGAATTTAATTGAAACCATGAACCAACTTAAGCCAGGCCACTATTGGAAACCTGGGGTCATGGATGAGCATTATTAAGGAATTACATACAAGGATGAAACAAATGTTTAGTGCCTACAGGTTTTTAATGGCAACCCAAATTAGATCGGTTCATGATTTCAATGAAATTCAACAATCACCGCATCACTATACGGAAAATTATCATGTGCCCACTAGTGACTAGTTTCCAGAGGAAATTCCCGGAGTTCCAGTGAGAAGCCACAACCAATAGAGTCCAATCATGTCATTTGCGAGACAATTATTCACTAAAAACAATGCAAAATAGTTGCACAGTATCAAGGATCGATTTAAATAAAACTTGTACACTATTCAGTGCCGGTTCAGTGAACCAGTTAGTTAGCCTACAACACAGGACCAGGCACTTACATGCATCGGTTCAAGTTGCCATACCTCATTAGCACAGCAAGATGAACACCGGATTCATAGAAGTGGTTAATTCAGTGGTGGCAATATTTAAAAGAAAGATTATGTATAAGGAAATAGTTCAGAAAGAAGGAATTAGTTGGTAGAAAGATATGAAGCGATTTTAATCTGATGGTTCAGGGGAAGACAAAGAGTGTATACACCTACGACATTGTGATCGATTCCGAGCCATGTCACTCAGAGTCTCCAGCCATTGGTTACGATAGTCACGCGGACCCCAACCAAGTAGTCTGCATCTACCAACATGGCTCAGACCAGAAGTTGGTGACTTCAAGCATTGATACCAAGTTTTGGTTTGGCCGCCTCTAACTTTCTTCCACCCGTCTCCACATCTAGTCAGCATTGTGCGTCGTGGTAATCGGTGTTCAGGCATACGCAACACGTGGCCCAACCATCTCAGTCTATGAAGATTCAGAAGCTCATCAACTGATTTACCATCATTCCCTAATACTCTGCGTCTAACCTCACTATTACTTACCTGGTGATCCCAGCAGATGCGAGAAATATTTTTAAGACATCTGTGGTCAAATATTAGTAGCTTACGAATATATTCTACTCTTAGTAGCTACGTTTCGCAACCGTAAATTAGAAAAGAACGAACTACCGCGCAGTATACTCATCCCTTAATTGATAGACGGATATCTCGCCTTCGCCATAGGTGATGTAATTTGGCAAAAGCCAAACGAGCTTTTCGAATTCATGATGAGATTTCGTCAGACACCGTGATTCGGAGGTTTAGCATTTGCATGGTACTTAAGATCCTAGGTTTGACCCTCAGTTTATGTGTTCAAATAAAGTATAATTATAAAGAGTACATAGCATTTCAACAACATATTCAATCGAGTTTCTATTTGATCTATGATAATAACATCAAATAATTTCAGTGACACAAGTACACTTCTAAACAACAGTAGCCTAACGATAAAGGTCGCCCTATTCTGGTTGAATATATGTTTAATTTCCGATGTATTGAAATTGAAAAAAAGATTGATTATATTCTTTAGGTATATGTAAAAGACTATTCAATTGTTATGGGATATTTCTCATTTAGACAGTCGATTGTTAAATATAGTTAACATGGATATAAATTGAAGGTATTTCAAAGTCAATAGAATTTGAAGCTAATTTATAATATAAACAAACTACAGTAATATAACCAATAAAACCTAGGGATTTCTAGGTAGAAGTATTATACAGTTTTGTGATGAGTCAGCAGTGTGTACTTGTTGTTCCATATGGGAGCCGCCAAACGCCCTGGTACGGTCGAGAATGGGGAGAGTCAGCACGCCCTCTTCGAATGCTCTCACATAGCCATGTGCATACAACCACTGACACGGAAATCCTAAAAGAAGGCATCAAACACATATGCCCCACATAAATCATTAGATTTGTTTGAGAGCTAGGATACCGCTCGGGTGCCCAAACCGAAACAGACGATTTTCATATGGGACCACACACGGAGACTTTGACCTAAAGGTCTAATCCACAAGGCAGTGTAGCAACGTCAGGAGATGCAGCACCATGTTAGATGGTGACCAACAATTGATTCATACGCCATTTGTTCCTTCAAGATACTGGAGCCCATTTACACCATTAGTTTGGAATCAGGGTTTTCCAACTCCCCTAGGTGTATCCGCAATATCCACCAACCTGGTTAAAGCGCCGAACATTCGCATTTCGTCCTCTCAGTTTCGTGAACAACACCCGTGGTGCGAGAATGCAGTGAGTATGACTTCCCTATCAGTGGTTGTATACACGTGGCCATTTGAGAGGATTTGCAGAGAGGGAGAGCGGACTCTCCCCACTCTTGGCAGTACCAGGGCATTCGGGAATCAAATCTCCGGGCCAGTAGAATCAAGGATTTTCGAATTTACTCGCCTTCATTTAGAGGGTCAGTACAAAACCTTAACTGAAGTATGAAAAAAAAGTCGTTTGTGAATAGTAAAATTTGCTTTCTATCATTCAGCTTTATTTATCACACAACTAACTATCGAAAAAACCTCAAATTAGAAGGTGGACATAACAATGTGAAATTTAAATGGAGGACAAGGAGAGATAGGTTGCTACACCATATTATCAACACAGTAGGATTAAACTATCAAGACAGATAATGTTACAGAAATAAAAGTAGTAACAGTATCAGTGTCGATAGAAAAGACTACACACAGACAATACGATTGGCGAGAAATGATTGAGTATTTTAGGACAAAGGGTGAATGTGTTTGAACTATTTTGACCAATTATGAACCATATCTTCCAGTGACTTCAACCATTGGTTACGATAATCGCGTGAAACCTAATCAAGTAATCTATATATCTAGCATGACTTGAACCAACAGCCAATAACTTCCTGAAATGTTCTTATGTCCTGATTACGTCACTTCCAGGATTTCTTCCAAATACACTCCTACATCAACTAATATCAAAAGTCAAGGCAAATGGCAGTTGTGCTCATGCAATAAATGTCCGAATCATCTCAGTTAATAAAGAGTGTCCGCCTAAGAACTAGGACCAAATGAGGATTATAAACCAGTATGAGGAATTATAATTATAATTTATAGTTGATGGTTAAAGTTAAGAATTAGATTTAAAGGTTGGGATTCATCACCAACTGACATCAACTAAAATGCCAAAACTCTATTTAGTCAAATAGATGAGTGGATTTCGCGCCAAAATCCAAGCCTTGTTATCTTATACTTGATTAGTCCATCCATAAATTATAATCTCGCCGACTTTCAATTTTCACTGTTTGTGTTAATTGTGATTATCTTCCTTTAACTTCCTCCTAACTTACTCCTACATCAGTAGGTAGCGCACATCATGGCAGGTGATTATTGAGCATCCATAATACACGCACTAAACAACGTAGTCTAAAGACGTTACATAATATAGTTAATTGTTCTGGTATTTCCACCTTAGGATCTTACATTCAATATCAAATTTACTAATTTGATGATTATTATTGTTACTACTCAGAGTATTAGGTAAAGATGACGGTTAAGTTGGCGAGATTGTGAACCTTTATCGACCAAGGTGACATAGATATGCGATACGTATGCCAAACCACTATCTTCCTCGGTGTAATGTTTACTGGTTTGGGAATAGATTATAAAACTGTTAAACTGAAATGTTTCATTACGTATGAACAACGTGATCGAGGTCATCTTGATTATCTTAGCCAAACGTTTGGAGTTGTTGGGTGACATATTTCAGAATTGGTCACTTTTTGTCTTCCCATAAATATCGAGTTTTAAAACTATTTTATATTGTTTATTCTGCGAATTTATTCTCATATTGTCTATGTCTAATCGTTTGTGCATCTATTACTGTTATCACAATTGATTGATCAGCGGGTGGTGATCGATGTCACGTGTGTCAAGTCCTTTTTAGTGCAGATCGAATGCTATCGACCAAGTTGCAATGTGGCCACTAGTCTAGGTGACTCGACATGTCGTACACTATTTTGAGATAAGATGGTGGTTGGAAGTAGTCAACAGAAAATCCTGGACGGGATCGAGTCCGTCAAGGAGCATCAGTTCCCTCAAGATTACAGGTACACCCTGCTGTCGAGTGCCAAATAGCACGAAACTCGGGTCCAGGGTTTCCCGTTAACTACTTCCAACCACCATCTTATCTCAGCTGTTATCACCTTTATTACTACAGTATCTGCCTTGATCATTTCATGTTACTGTTTTGATATAGTATGGCAAATTGAAACGATGCACATATGTGTCAGGTAATTTTCTTACAAACTCATATTCATAAAAAAGTTAAAAAAGAAACAAACAGATCAGTCTTGTCTTCAACTTATTACTGTTGATAACTGATGAGTTGGATAACTTGTAAAACATTGCTTATTCATTTTATTACAAACTAACACCATTTAATATATAATACAAGTTCATAATAAATATTAGTATGAAGGGATTATGAAGATTGGTTTATATTACTATCTGATCTTAGAAAATCAGAAACTACTGAGCAGCTGATTCAACCTAATATGGGACTCCTCAGAATCGTGTATTTACAACCAAACCTAGGGTCGAACTCAGGACCGTAGCTCCTGTCGTTAGTACTTAGCCTTAAACACATGAAACATTGAAGTTAAATTAACTGATTCTATGGTTAACCAGTCACAGTGAGACCTGAAGATTCTAAATTTAATCAAAAATGGGCTAATGGATGAACACTGGGAAAGAAGTTTCAAACTAAGCTGAAACAATTGTCAAGCTTTTCTTTGTTTTCAATGATTGTTTAACTAAGGTTAATACATGATATGAATGGTAGTTAATATCTTTTTTTTTTTAAAAAGTCAAGAAACTTACAAGATCATGGTTATAATTTTTAGATACTCCCTCCGTATTCACATTATTATTATTATTGTTACTAACTAGACAAGCTAGTTCATGATTCTGATCCAATCGATCATAGGTAAGATTTGCTGTTTGCATAAAAAATTTATGCGAATTTGATTGTGACTGTTGATAATGTCTTACAATTCCAATAGATTTATTTAATCTATCATTGGTAGTATCATTTGATGGACTAACAACATCTTCAACATTATCATCATCATCACCATCCATTATAACATCAACTGATGTATCACTATTTCCACTAATCTCTTTATCCAATTCATATTGATTCGTTGAATAATCATTGATATTATTAGTATTGAATGTATTTAATAATGATAATTTTGAGTTTCTTGATTTTCTATCTGATTTATAATTAATCAATACATTATTATCATTTACTTCATCATTATCATTATCATTATCATCGCCATCGTTTTCTTCAAACTCTTCTACTTCATGTATAATATTTGATTCTGAATGTTCTAAACGACGTCGTAATTCTGCAATAACACTATGTAATTCAGTTAAACGATCTTCATAACGTGATACTTGATTAGTTAATTCATTGCGTAATTGTTCTTTTTCACGTTGTAAACGTTGTACTTCACGATAATTCATATCTCGACTTGTCTATAGTTAATTAGTGAACAAAAGTATATATGTATAAAGTCAAACTTGATTGAAATTATTAATAATCAGGTGGAATAAGAAATGGTTATTATGTATTCACCATAATGTAAAGTCCCCGGTTGCCCCCCAAATGCCCTGGTACGGTCGAGAGTGAGGAGAGTTAGCTCTCCCTATTCAAATGCTCTCATACTGCCACGTGCATAAAACTACTGACAGGGAAGTCACGGGTGTTGTTTATCGAGTTGATAGGAAGAAATGCGAATGTCCGAATTGGTGGACACGGAGAGTCCACCTAAGGGAGTTGGAGAACCCTGATTCCGAACATGGTGAACATGGGTTCAAGGATTCTAAGGAACCAAATGGCGTATGAATGAATTGTTGGTCACCGACTACCATGGTACTGCATCTCATAACATTGCTCCACTGCCTTGTGGATTAGACATTTGGGTCAAAGTCTCCGTGTGTGGCCCCCTATGAAAACCATCTGTTTTGGCTTGGGCACCCAAGCAGTATTACAGCCCTCACATAAATTGAATAATTTATGTGGCGCATAACTGTTTGGTGCATTCTTGTACCAATGTTTGTGTGTTTAAATCTATAAATAATAAGTCTCAGTAATTTATAGTTGATAACTGAGTCATGAAGAAAACCAATGAAATAGGGTAGTTGTTTGAAATTCGAAGCAATAGCTCAGTAATTAAAGTATTTAACTTTTGATTTTTAGAGCATTTGGTACGGTTCATGGATACTTCAAATGTATGCGGAATTATGAACTGGATTATTAAATGAAAAAAATATTGAACAATCATATTATTTGGTACTTTGATATAGTAGGCTATTTTGTTTAGTACATATCTTTTCACATCTAACTAGATCAATGAAAGCATAACAGATCTTTTTCCCGAAATATACGTTTCTCCTGGTTACTGGTTTATTATGCTCATTATCGCCTAAGATCATTGACAATATTCTTAAATGACATGATCTATAAATATTTAAATAATTTAGGGTCGTTCACAATAGAATGGAGTGGTTATGTATTTTGGAAAACTCTGAGTGTATTAAAATGTTAAAAAAAATAAATTAGTTGAGGTTAATAATGACACATTGATCGTTCTTCTCGTATATCATGGACGGATTTCCATATCCTGAAAAATGTATCAAGCCACTGATAACCACAGAGTACCATAAAGGATGGTGTGGAAGCAAGTTAGAGATATGTCCAAGAGAAATAAGATGGTATGATATTAGTTGGTAGTAAAGTCAGGTTTTTAAATGTATGAATCTTCTGAACACCTATTAGCGTACTCTTGTGCGGACATCCGTTTCTAACAAAACTTCTGTCTACAATGTTTCTATCAATCAATCATCATTTACTCGAGAGCTGTTAATGATATGCGAAGAGTTGACGTTCACCCTCTGATAACATACTAGAAGGAAACTTCTTATTGAGGAACGTTAGTTATGAATAAGATCAATATTGATGGTCATTACAATTTTGGAATGTAGCTGTTATTAATTGTGTTAAGTCTATAGCTTCAGATCCGTGGATAAATTTGGAATATGGTATTTTTAGGGCCACCACTCTCTGACTACTCTTTCTGTTTGTGAAAAGCTACAATGCCTGAAAATGCTGGTTAACCTCCGGGAACATCTCACGACCATTATACTTTAGAACAGATGGTGACATGACTAATTTCTCATGAGCATAACACTGTGACATTGTAAGTCTTAACCGAATGTGTGTTCTTTTAGAAAAATGATAATTCACTCTGTGATTTTGGGTAGCCTCCTTTTATGAGGGTTAAATAGGCTACATGAAGTTGACAAATAAGTTATGTATAAACCGGATGGTGTATGCCAAATATACATTCATCGGACTTCTGTTAAAGAACAGGTAACTTATAGGTACTGATACATTTACAAGAAGTTTCTGTTTCAAAGCTATTTATCATAAAAAATAGGATCAAGCATATGTTAGAAAGAAACAGGGTCGATAAAGAATGAACCTTTAAAGGTTAGAGAAAAACACTCATTAAAAATTACCTGTAACCCTTGTAGTCTGTGAGACAGATCACGGATTTCGGAACGTAATTGAGCCGTCCGTTGTACATGTAGAGTATTCGCACATTCAAATAAATGTCGAACATTATCTAGAAAGTGATTTGACTCAACTTCTTTTGATTTTATACCAAATGATTCTGCTTCTATGTGCCTTGGCAAATTACTTAATTTATCTACAGACTGAATATTTATTGCATTAGTCCGTTTTTGATTCTGTAAGTCTTTTGTAGAATTATCCATATTAGTGACAGATAATAAATTGAATTCATTTGTCATTGTATCATTTTCAAAATTATTTCTTATTGAATTCAAAGGTAATGGAAATATAATTTTATATAAATCAGGGAAATCACGTTGCATTAACAAGTGTAAACTTTGCGGTTCACCACAAAGATCTTGAGCTCCAGAATCATATTCTGCGCCTAAGTAAATCAACGAAAATGATAGAAAATTTTGAAAAGTTAATAAAACAAAGTACAACTCCGTCAAATAAGTTACAGTTGAAGTGGAAGGTGATAATTAATTCCACTTCAAGTGAATTCTAATCAAATGAATATTGTTAACGGTAATTAAATACTAAAGGTTATAAAGTATTTATAGAGATGTAGGAAGATTGCATTATTGACAATATTAATTTAGACGCTGGTACAGAAGTATGGATGACTAAAATTTGTCAGTTGCTGGAGTAATTCAAGGTAAATTATTTCTGAGGAGACCGAACTAGTAACAGAGTTAGTAGTGACATTTTGTTCAACCCTAGTGGACAGTCGTGGGGCGAAGGAGCAACTGCCTGAGATCGGTTGTACATAACACTTTCGTTCCCAGGTCTGTACACTTCTATAGGGAAATACGAGACGTGCTACTTCGATGTCTTTCCTTTTCTGAATAATGTCGAATGGATAGCACAATTGCCAACAATACTGGATGTCCATGGAAAATACTTTACTGTTGCCACACAACCTAATATACTCGGCAGTCCTACGTCGTTTTTTAACCTTATATTTGGTGTAACCACTATCCAAATGACCTGGATGACATGGTTAAACATAAAAGGAAAGTCATTCAACTTAACATAGACACACCTTGATATAAAAGCACGACCAACACGGTCAAGAAAAACAGACAAAGAATTGATCAAATCTTATAACACAAGATTTTGACGCGAAAATATCTGGATAAAAGTATTTGAAAACATGCTTGTTTTTCTGCTGAATCTAACTCATCTAATAAACAGATATTTACACAGAGAGTAATAAAGCCCAAATGATTGATAAAACTTATTAGTCCCTTTTAAGTTTACGTCCTACCCACTCAGAAATATCTACCATGCTTCGACAATAAGGATTTATTTATACACGAGAAAAATGTCTTGACTGTAGATTTCAGAACTAAGTATTTTTTTACATATTCCCAGAATAAATTACAATCACATCCGCATATGTTTTCAGAAAATAGGAAACATCAAAGTTCTTCGGTGAGTGTAAATCACGATAAGAAAGTTGATATGATACTAAGCAAAATAATATATACTTGAATGCCATAATACCATCAGTGTTTACCATGAAACAGAAGATTAAATTTGTTGACATAGATTCATTAATGCTAATGAGTTCCCTTCTATAGGATTCTATTTCATGCATTACTTTCATCAGTTTATTCAACTTATGCTTGACTGCAATGAGTCAACAGAATGAGGCCCAATTACCTAACATACTGATATTTATTAAACTACCAATGATAATTAAAACGATTAATAACACAATAAAAGGTAGGAACTCCGGATTGTACTGTCCTGTACAAAACAATTGCTAAGTTTATGTTTGTTTACTTAACCATGCACTGGCTGGACAAATTCTTCGGAAAAATGCCCGGCAAAATATTTTGGAACTGTTAGTTAGACTTGAATTTGCTTTACAGTGGATTGCTTTAAAAAGCAATATGTTCAATGACGTAACATTTTAAGTCTCAAAAGCCTATACAGACGGTCTTGGATCACGAAAACAGGGTGTAATCAGTAAACGCAGTTAAAATAGTACTTGAGGTTAGCTTTAGAGTTTACTAATATCAACTGGTTGACATCATATCTTGTTACAACTCGCTACATTGATTTAATATGAATACAGTATCATGCATCACAAGAAATTGTGAGCACCAAACTTAAATATTGTTTCAAACCAGGGTTATTTCTGTCAGTAAAGCACAGAGTTGTTGTTACCTAGCAGCAAATACTTTAATCACTCTCTATCATTAATTGCGAGTTACTTCTCTCTAATGAGTAAGGCATCCGTAACATGACATTTAAAGCTCTAAATAGGATGACTGTGCTACAGATGGTAATAGAAGTTACATGACGTCTTTTTACTACACGGAAAACTGGGTTCACTTGCGACCTAAATGAAGTCGATTACAATTTATCCCGATTCTCCCGAGATAACGAAAATCCTGACACTTAAACTCACTCATTCTTAACAACAGTGTGTCAGAATAAATTCCGTTTAAACTGACCAAAATATAGGTATTTTTACAAAGTCTAACCTGAGTTAACAAGGCTGGTTTCGCTGGCAGAACTCTCAAGATTGACATTTTCGTTCATTTTGCGAACAGAGTTTTCATTCACTTCTTGTCCATTATTTTTAACCTCTGTATGCAATTTACCAGTTGTGTAAACAGGCCAACTAAATCCAGGTTGCTTATAATTTAGATGATGTGGTAAACCAGATCTTGAGAAATATATATTATCCGCTTCAGTTTGCATCTGAAAAACTTTTTCTCGACAGCTAAGGAACTCATCAAATGTAATGCACCCTTTAGTGTTAGCGCCAAGTGTGTTTATAATTTCCTCGGCACATTCTGCCATGTTTAGTTTCTTACACATATTGTATAAGTCTTCACAATCTAAGCACCCATCATTATTTGAATCACAGCTTAGAAACAATTGTCTCAGTCTTTCTTCTTCCCCTGTACTGCTACTATCGCTGCCACTAGATTTTATAACTCTTTGAATGCGGAATAAATACTAACCTGCTTTTCTGATCAACACATTGTATGTCAGACATATCATGAAAATTGGAAGCCATTCAAACCCAGCGCTAGTAGCATTTGCGGTCGATAACTGGGCATGAAAATGAACTCTCAAGGCTATGATGGTTATGACGCATTTAAACGTTGATGTATGCCAAGTTGTTTGTATATAAATTTGAATGTTTCGTAACTATTTGAGCATTTGTATAATCTTTAAGTGAAAGCAGTCAGATTCGCCATGAATTTCAGCACTCAGTGAATGTAAGATGTATTGTACAAGTCACAAGTCACGGTTGAGAGATTTTTATTATTTATGTAAACTTTCATGCTGTCGAATAAAAAGCCAATGTTAATGACTGAAAAGAGCTATCATTTGATGTCTCTCAACATAGCTCCCTTTAGGCATAATGTCCTGAGGCATCTACGCGCGCTTTTCAGACTGGAAGCTGACATGATCTACATTTCTCAAACTTTTGCTGTGTTCTTACGCAACAAAAGTACCATTTCCGATCTAAAGAAGCTATTCAGAGCCATGCGCTCGGTAAATTACTTTTTTTCGATTTCACCCAATTTAACAGTTAACTAGGAAAACAATAACGGCTCGTGATGACTCTTACATTATCAGAACCTCAAAGACAACCCTGACATTCCTCTCAGTTTGCAGGACAAAAATGATGGGATGCTCTAGGGAAAATTGAACAAGAAGTTCGAACATCCCAGAATACAGCCTTTGACGGTCACATGGCTCACTCGGGGAACGGAATCTAAGCATCAAAATCACTTGAGGCTACTTCATGTAACACTTAAAAATGATACCGACGTAGAAAATGTCCTGCTAGCTAGTCATTTACTGAGATCCGGAAGGAACGTAAGAGTACTGCCTGATATACCGTATTCTGGACGCAATCTCATCCGAAACATCCCTAAAGAATCTCGCGAGTTCTTCCGCGGAAGAAATATCTTTGTGCAAGGTGTACCGGAAAACACGGACCCTAGTCAAGCAAACTGTGATATTAAGGAATGGAAATATATCAAGCAGTCCTTGAGGCTCAAAAACATACTGACTCAACTTTGACGAGACTAGCCAAGAAGGACGGTGATTCTAGACCCCGGCTAATGAAGATAACTTTCTCATCCTTCCATATGGCAGCTGCAACTCTGGAGGCATTTCGTACCAACAGACGTCGGTCGCCAGCTGGAATCCACATGCACCCGGATGGGCCATATGAAGCTAGGACCAAGCACAAAGGCAAGTTGGAGCTTACCATTCTACTTGTGGACTGTCTCGATGATAAAATAACGTGTAAAGGACAGGGTCTACCAATTCGGCAAACCTTATATGAGTGGGCTACTTGTCCATTCACATGAGGCTCATACAAATAAACAGGAAGAAGCTCACGCGTTTCAAATTGAGAGCATACACTGCTTGTACATGAACGCTGCGAGTCCATCAAATAAAATGGATGGGCTATGTGAACTTAGCAATGCTAATAATGCTCATCTGATAGGAATATCTGAAAGTGAATAACTTCTCAGTTTACGGACCAGGAGCTAGCAATACCTGGGATGTCTTTCTTTCGTAGCGACGGGAAAACAGGAATCGGGGGTGGAGTAGCCGTATACATACGATCCTGGCTGGAGGAAACCAAGTTCACAACCATGAGTTTAACAATCTTGATGAATCCGTATAGTGCTCATTAAGATTGTCTGCCACTTTGAGGTGCCTAGTCGGAGTCATCTATAGGAGGCCCACTGCTGACGTCAAGTATGACAGTCGTATGCTGGAAGGACCTTCCAGCTCTGTGCGTCTCGGATACACTCATATCCTGGTTCTAGAGGACTTCAATCTCCCTAGAGTCAAGTTCGTGTACCATACGTATATTGGGTGTGAAAACTCAACTGAAGCTCGGTTCTTCAACCTCATTGAGGATCTGAGATTATACGAAAATATGAAGTCGGCAACTCGTTGGGGAAACAGTCAGATACCGTCACGCTTAGACTGGATATTTACAAACGAAGAATTTCTAGTTGACAACCTTTCAATCCTGGCTCCCACGGGCAACAGCGATCACGCCATTATAGCCTTCAGTCTCCTTGATGATTTTCTTTCCGAAAATGGATTGTGTCACCTACTGAATATCAATGTGTTTAATAGTGATTTATGCAAACGAGGCCCGTCATCCATCTAATTGACTGAAAAGCAAAATGTGACCTTTGAAACTTTTCGCGTCTATTTTATTTTATTTCTGTTCATCGTAATATATGAAGTCTGCTTGCGTTCGTATTTATAATAATTATAATAATTATTATTATTATAATTATTCCTAAACATCTAAAGTCTATAACTAAAGACCAATTATCTCACTGTACGCTTGAATAAATTAACTTCTCAGATTCATTTTATCACCACCATATATATATATATATATATATATATACATATATATATAACATAGAAATTTGTATTTGATTATCCTGTGCAGTTAATTGTGACCTTCATAGCATCATTCTTAATTATTATTGCACAAATGTTTCTATTAATATCTGGTTTCACTTGTATACTATTACATGAAACTAGATGTATTTATCTGAGCGCACTGAATGATTTTTTTATCTTGCTTTATTTCCTTTTCTTTTCTTTAAATTGCTGATTTACTTCAGAGGTCGATGTTCACTACGCAGTAATTATTATCATGGCTGAACGCTTTCACTACGTGTTCAGTTCTTTTACCTTTTTTGCCCATCTAAATAAATATTTTTCTGAATTTACAGTAGTTTGTAATTAAGACAATAACTTGTGTTACACTTAAATTAACTTCTCAGGCTCGCTTTATCTTCATTATGTATACGTGACTCATATATATTGATATTTCATCATCCTTTTCACTCAATTGAGACTTTCATAGCATTACTCCAAAATATAACTGCACAAAGATTTATTCTATCGTCATATCTTGCTTCAGTGACAAGTTATTTTTTCTTACCTATTTTATATTTTATATTGTTTTATTTTTTATTAATCTGACGATACATACATAGTCGTTTATTCTTGTTCTGTGTTCATAAACACGCCTATTAAACTGTTTGCGCATTTCACGTCTCCTTTATTTCCAGTCCCTTATTTTCTTCCTTTCCTTCTTGAAGCTCAACTCAATATTCGTCTCAAATACACAGAATCTGATTCATTATTATTATTCTCTTTTTCAACTATGGTAAATATGATGCTAACATTATTGAAACTTGTGTATTATTGCATTTTTGAAGAAACCCGAAATGGTTTCTTCACAACACATATGTACCCATAAAATTTTTGTGAATGATAATAATAATAATACCCCACCAACAACAGGCGCTGTAATTTCAAATGGTTGGATGTGTCAGCTTTACAGGACTATCTACAACGGGTGGATTAAGATGTCCACTTTCAACTTGGTGTGGATGCTCATTAGTACTTCTTACTGCACACGCTCTTATATGCTACAAAGCATTCAGTTCCTCAAGCATCCTTGATCGCAAGGAGAAGGTTGATATCATTTACCTTGATTTCTTAAAAGCTTCTCATAGGGTCAACCATATATGTCTTATCAATAAGCTCAAACCATTGGGTATCAGACGACCTCTAATTGACTGGCTCTCTTCATAGGGTTAGCTTCAAATTATCTCAGGCTATGAAATGTCCTAGTGAGGTCCACTTGGGCTCAGTACTAGGGCCTTTTCTCTTCTCAATTTATATAATTGGTCTCCCACAACAGGCATCGTCAGACATTACTTTTTGCTGATAACGTGAAACTTTGGAGAGATATACGCAACCAAGAGGGTATACAGGGACTTCAAGAGGATCAGACTCGACTTCACAGTTGAGCAGACGATAACGGACTTACCTTAAACACTTCAAAGTGCAAAGTGGTCCATCTGAGACATGTTACAAACTACAGTTACAACGTAAGAAACTCCTCTCTAGTAGTATCCCGAGTCGAAAAGTATTTAGAAGTCCTAGTACCTTACAATTTGAAGTCTTACGCTAAGTGTGACAGAAATGCCTTTCGGGCAAACCTTGCACCGGTAACATTGGGGCGCATTTTTGGCCAGTTTGACGGAAGAACTTTCCACATAATCTTCAACAGTTTTATTCGTCCCCATTTAGAGTAAGTAAACATAATATTTCCTCACTCACTCCAAAAGGATAAGGACACTCTGGAGCGTATCCAACGGCGAGCCACGAAATCAGTTCGGGGACTCAAATTCAAACCTTACGAAGAGCGCCTCCAGTCACCTGACATTTACCCATTACAGTATAGGCGTATTAGAGGTGACCTTCTAATGGCTTACAGTATCCTTAACACTTCTGGATATCCCCTTAAACACCTACTTAATCTTAGTCCTAATACAAAATTAAGGAGTAACACCCAGAAATTGAGGATAGAACATGGCAGAACGGACTGTAGACACTACTTCTACTCCTTAAGAGTTGTCGAACGCTGGAATTCGCTGCCGGCTGAGCTAGTCCAAGCGGCTGCTCAGGAGTCCTTTAAGAGGAAACCTGACCTATTCTTAAGGACTAAGGATAACATCTTATTATGATTTACCGATTTCTTTTCTTTTTTCCTCTATTGTCGTTAATATACCTAGGTTCCTGCCTGTAGGTATTGGTGATCAACGGCTACTAGACATGGAGGTCCGTTAAGCGAAAGCTTTTTATATTCCGTCCACAACCATTTGAACCATTTGAACTGTCACCATTTGTTATGAAAGATACAATCTCCTAATCATATGGTCGAGACCATGTAAACAGAGGATCCAATAGTACCAAGAACGTGTCTTAGTCTTTTACTAGAACTGCGACTTATAACCGCCTTTGTCTTTGTTTAAATATGTGCAAGCAAGCCTTAAAGTGTGCTAAAATGGGTTGCCAGGTCACTGTGTTTCGTTAATCATCAATGATATTCTGGACGTTTTCTAGTTGCTTTTTGTTGCTAGCTAAAGTTCTTCACTGTCACTTATAAACGACCCGGGACCAAAAATGGTTAGAACTGGTAGTCACTTGCCGTGGTAAAAGATATCATGAATGTTAAACAAATCTTAATTTCACAGATTGAAATCATGAGTCAGTTGAAGCAACGGCGAAGAAAAAATATATTGCCACGTACCATCAAAAAGCTGGGTACCCTGATAGGCAAAATATGTTTCGAAAAACGATGCTTACCTAGCATATTAGAAATTATCATGCTTTTCAAGAAACAGTATACAAGTTGTTTAGCTCCTGGGATAGTGTTTATCGATGCATTGCATCGGCTGTCTTGTAATGAAGCGCCCTACATATGCTGGGAGAAAACATGTAGTGGTAGATCTTGGTGCAATTTTTAGCCAGTCCTTTTGGATATTTGGACTATGCTCTGTTTCAGTCATAAAGCATGACTGTGGTGAGACAGAATCAATCCGGCCATGTCTGTAGGTACATCATTCTGTCTGCTTACGGCTTTTGGTGGTCTAGCGGGATGTAATTGCCCAATGGTATTAATATATTTTCCTATAACAACTACTTCTCAACTTTTGTTTTTGTCTTTGAAATGCTTTCACTGCCTAGCGAGTTAAATTGGACAGCAACGCCAAAATCCGTCCCTCTCATGACTTTATAAAAGCGACATACATGGCTATCCAAAAATCTCATTTAAATATCTAGACACTGTATCTATTTTATTACATGTAGGAGATCTACATAATCCAAAGATTTCCACTTTTTTTTATCTTCTTTACTCGTACAGATTTTTATCCATTCCTTAAAATACTACAGGTACAGTTTCTTCAACCTGTTGAAATACACCTATGTAAAAATTGGCTTAAAAAGAGAAATAAGTTCAAGTTATCATACCTAGGTTTTCTCACCACAAACTACTCAACGTCTTCGGTCGTGAACATTATCTCCATAAATACAAAAGTAGCAAAAGCCAGTAAATCTGCTTGACATAAATTGTAATAATAAGTTATTTTCAAATGTCTATGTTATACGAGGTATGGCAGTTCACTGGTAAGATCAATCGGCCGACCACCTTGGGTCTTGGTCGGGAAGATGTACTAAAGGCACTTTGTATTTTGGGTTCAAAAAACGAACTCCACTGGATAAACAGCTCTCTAAAATTGTGAGATGGACTGCACAGTACACTGCTGCTACATTTACAAAGAAATTCAATATGTAACTTGGCCAGGGTCAGTTACTCATGGACTAGAATGATGCAACTGTCACTACAACTCATACTACGGGATCAAGATAACCTGCGTTGAACCACAGACCTGTCGGCCCTACCAGTGTCGCAGTAAAAATACTGGTAAGAATAACCAGTAAAGCCATAGTGGCATTTATAGAAACCAATGACTTGGCAAACAGTGAACACCATGGGTGAATAGTGGTCAGCCGTGTGACCCGGAACGGCACACAAAAATGAAAAGAATTGCCAGATGATAGATAATCAATAGATGGTTTCTACAAAGACTTCTGCAAAAAATTTGATATGGTGCCGATTAATAGATTTAAACGTGACACAGGTATTTGGATTTTGACAACGCATTAACACGCAACACCTCAGTAATGGAGTTATATCAATCCGGTCGAATCAGAGGCCAGAAATGAAGGGGGTCGAAGGTGTAGTTGAAGGGCAATCGATATGTCGGGAAGCGTTTGGTTTAAGTTGACTGACAGATGCAAGGGATTCATAGCACGGCTAACACACTCGTGATCTAGTGCGGGTGCGTGATTCAACGTCTTCAGCTAGGTGTTTCTTGTCAAACTAATGAGGCCAGTATCAATTTTGAAGACTTACAGAACTATCTACTTTATGGATTTGTTTACGGATGTGGATTATTCTGAAAAGTCTAGGGATTGCCGAACCTCTTCTAAAGTGGGTGAAATATGCCCTGATATGTAATAAGCAGAAAGTGTAGTTCAGTCTCCAAAGTTACACTGATGATGTAAACATATGGAGGGGAATAACAGGAGATCCAAGTTCATGTGCATTTCAAGCGGCTTGTCTAAAACTTGGTTGATAAATAGGAATACGTTCAAGAGTGTCGACGTGCACATTCGGGATACAAAGGCAATATGTACATGGCAAGAGAAGAGTCTGGTATCACAATGATCTTGAGTTAACAATGGGCAATGATCTCGAGACCACGGCCCATTACCACGCGGTCATAGCTAGGGAGTTCATGATCTTATGAGGTCTAAAGCGGATATTTATTAAGTTGTGTACTGATATGTCATTGCGGTATACAAAACCTCAGTGACATCCAAACTTCAAGAAGCCTTCAAGTTCCTGCCTTAAATGACTCGAATTTGGTAAAAACCATGAAAATGGCAGCCAAATATACAGATTCAGTACTCCGGGGTATACAATACACAGAGCAGTCTGAGATGCCGAACTTCTCTACTCTGTCCCCCCTCAGATTAGGAAGTGACTTGATCTTGCTGTATGGAATGCCAGGAAACGATTTAAGATCTGATATATCTTCTCTCTTCATTCTTAAAGATCTCGAACACCAAGAGGACATAGCAAGTGAGTTCATACACTTTTGCACACCGAGTCATAAATTCGTTGAACCCGTTAACAGAAGCGGTGTCCATATCATCATTTGACTTATTTAAAAGGAAACAAAACACTATCAGAAGCTTAATAGAAAAGGATTAATGCAGACCATAGTTTTTTGGCTTCAATACACAAATCTAAATCGTTTATGTACATTGGATTTGTTTAACTATATCGTTTTTCCCAGCAAACTTACGAAAGTGTAAACATCAGTTTACACTTTGATGAATGTTATATTTAGTATTTGTTTAATACATTTGGCTGCTGGTTAGTGATTGTTTTTTCATTATTATCGCTTTTAAACGAAATAAAGTTCACCATTTGCTTTTTAAAAGAAGAACACACCGTGTTACAATGAGACCGGAAACAAAACTGTGCTGTTAGTTTTCCTCTCTATTTCAGGTGATAACTGAGCAGTGACCGATTCAAAAATACAAGCCTAGTAAAAACTCGATGTCGTTAGAGATTTCTGTTCATTTTTGAAGATATGAAACCGTTCCTTAGCTACGAGACGATCGACTCGATTCTTTCGAATGTATTGGATCCATTAAAACAGCTTAATGCTATCTTCAGAGCCTTTTCTGTTATGAAAAGGTTTAATTATGTTGATAACAAGTGAATGAATCAAATATTTTAGCAGAAAGGCATATTTAATACCCGATGTTTTGTCTTGCACCCATGAACTTTTTATCGGGGAACAAAAGGAACAAAGCACATCGGTTGTACAGTATCTTTGAGAATTCCTGGCTCTACTTAACAGAGGTGTGTACCTTAATGTTAGCTGAGTCGGCTGATAATGCGTTACATAGTTTTCAGTATGGGATTTTCGACTTTAGTATTTACTCTTTGGTAAACAAGGTTGAGCGAAATCTTTTCTTCTTCATCAAATAAGACCGGTTTGTTAAGACGAGTCTGGTATACCAGATAGTAGGTATACCTATGCAAAATAAACACAACTTATAAATATATATATATTATAAGACTCACCATGGTTTAAAGCAACTATCAGGACTAAGGTCAGTAAAGTTACGTAGTTGTCTTTTTAGAAGAGCAAGACTTTTCTAACCGTTCTATCATAGCTTTTGTAAGGTTTATTTTCCCGTTACTACTAAAAATTTGCCTCATTGTGATTGTCCTGTCACATTTTCCATAACATGCTTTACGAGTTAAAGATTTCGGTACTGTGTGAAAGTATGCAACTGATTAGAACGGCCTTAATTTCTATTTCTCAGCCTTATAATTTAGGTTCTTCCATTTGTGGGATGAAATTCGCTTATATATAGGATAGTCAAATCACATCGTTGTCCATTCAAGAAACATGTAAAACTCCCCAGTAAATAACTTGTGTTATTTTTGACTGTATAGTGTGTTTGGTCAGATACGGTTGAGTAGTTGTGGCCTTGTGTCAGTAGCACAGATTAGTCATGAATAACATATAGGGTAGTGGAAAAGTTTACTGCCTATTAAAACTTCAGTTTTGTTGTCAGAAGCTAATGGATTAGTTGTTTCCGCATACTTTTGAAGGGACTAACGAGTTAGTCAGATGTAGTAGTAATCGTAGTAGAATCAGTGTAAAATCTAAAGTTTCAGTCTAGATTTCTGTCACCTCGGTACGGTAAAAAGAACCAGAAAATATCTCAAGGCAGCAAGAGCACTGTGAGCAGTGCCTGAATGAGAAGAACTTAAGAAGTTAGAATAAAGCAATATGTAAAATGAAGAAAGAATTTCATTACCATACTCCACACCTCAACTAGTTTTAAGTTGTCCTGTTTTAGCCTATAATCATAAACTACTGTGGACAACAGTATGAACATTTGATGACAAACCGACAGTAATTGATGCCACTAACCGCCATTTGCTTTTTACTGTCCTTCGTCATCTTAGAGCTTCTTACAATATCCAGTATAACATAGTGAAATAAGGTGATGGCGAAATATGTGTAACGTGTGTTTTGATAGGCATAGTCATCAAAAGATAAATAACCCTGTTGCCCAAATTATATGAGATCCATTTGGTTTTCAGCTAAATCACTGTTCATTCAGGGACTACATTGTTATAAAAAACAAAGTGTCTGTTTAATAAAAATCCTGATTTCATAGCAGTATTTTATCCTAGGTATTACTAATTCATATGCACTTCTAAGACAAACTAAAGCCGTCTTTATTCACTTTACTAAAATATAACGGTTCTTCTGTGAATTTGTCAATGACATTATTTATACGATAATTTTAAGTCCAACCTACCCTATGAGTTAGGAAAAGTCCCTTGTTTCAGTCAACTTCTTTTTTGATGCCCTAATATGAGTATTGATTCATTATTTAAGGAGGCCACAGTGAGCGATTACATTTCTGTCACAAGCCTTAGTATTTCCTCGTATTATATATTACTCGGACAACCAATATATGGCTTTTCTTGTTGTTACTGATAGTACTACTGTTTAGAATCTTTTGCCAGACACCTTGTTGATTTCATCTCACTATGTTAATGTGTCATGCAAACTCAGTTTTTAGTACACATATATCTAGCTTTATGTTGAATGTGACTGGCTGACCGTCAAAATGAGCATCATAAAATCTTTATCTTAAGTGAATGACTATCAAGAATAGTCTTGAAATCGTATAAATATCCACTTTTTCTCCATGTATTCTCGTTGCCTTGAAGATGGATAAAATGTTGACTTTTTTTCGTTTTCCTAATTGTTTGAGTTACTGTACCAAGTTTAAATTGGAACAGTACAGCTTTGAGTTAATAGTGTTTACGATACGTTTATTCATTGTGTTAACTTTTGCATTCATCATTGTGTTGATATTTTGACTTGTTGTTAGAGCAAGGTCACATTACTTCATATTGTACACAATATTACTTTAAAAAGATGAATGATTTTTGAAAAACAAAGTTCCTTCGAAGAATTCTCATATTTGAATTATTCAGTTATCTTGTTTATATATTATTTTTATTAATTTTAGAGTTAATATCAGCTGAATTGTACTGTTATTCTTGTACAAGTGCTCAATCAGGTTGTGGTGATCCAATTGATGTAAGATTAATTCACTGGAAGAAATGTTCTGGTCGAGCATTGATTGAAAATTATTGTGTAAAATTAATTGAAAAAGTTCAAGGTATATCTAAGAAGAATGTGTGTTCACTCGTTTGTTCTTCATTGATATATATATATATGCATATTTTCGTCAATTAAAATATAGACTTCTACAACTTTGTCTTTATGGTAACCTAATAATGCGTTAAACAGCATTAGTTACCTTGAATCAACTCTGAATCCATATTGGTTCTTGATATATTAGCTTCTCGCGTAAATCATCCTATTCAGTCTAGAACGTATATCAATTTTTGCTACATGAATTATAGATTTAAAATATAGGCGGTCTGTATGTATAAAAACCAGATCTCATTACACTACAAAATGCAAAATGATAATTATACATCATCAAGCCAAAAGTGGTTATGAATACAGGTAACTGTAACTCATAGATTGGGAATAAATTAAGAATAGTCAATCGTATACCAGTAGTTAATGAATCAAATGGAAACTTATGATAAAAAGAACATGAATATATACCATCTGCTTACTTAGTAATCATATGATACGAATATATATATTACTTATACGTGTTACACCTGGTGGAGAAGCATAGGCCACTCATCAGCATTCTCCATCCAACCCTGTGCTGGACGGTTCTTTCCAATTCTTTTCGGTCTCTATTCATCCTTTTTATGTCTGCTTACAATTCTCGACGCGGTGTGTTATTCAGTCTTCTTTTCGGTTTCCCTTCAGGATTCCAAGTTAGCAATTACCCTGTGATGAAGTCTGTTGATTTCCTCAGTGTATTTCCTATCCAACTCTGAATTTCCTCTTCAGGTGGAAGTTAGTTTGTTCTCTCCCACAAAAGATTGTTTCTGATGGTATCCAGTCAACAAAATAGACCATCTTGCGTAGACAACAGTTTATAAATACTTGAACCTTTTTGATGGTGTTTGTGGTAGTTCTTCATGTTTCAGCTCCGTACAGTAGAACTGTCTTGACGTTCATGGTGAAGATTCTGAGTATGATATTAGTTGACAGTTGTTTTAAGTTCCATATATATAATTCCTGGAAGTTACTATACATTTATTCTTCGTTCGGATAATCTTTGTGTCACATTTGTGATTTATTATCTTGTTATGTTATACATTGTGTTATACTGGAGAGCTTTAGTAGATTACTAAACATTTTTCATAGATTTCATTGAGGAGTTACTCGCTAATGGAATAACAACCGAGTAAATAAGAAAGAGATCAGGTATAGTATAATAGGTAAAAAAACACATGACATAACATTTGATAAGTCTGGAATTCTTTATTGACTAAAGTAAGTGAGACATGCGTTTATTTCAATGTATAATACTATCTTGATTAAGCGGTTGTTGCATCAAACCCAAGCACTAACAAATCAGTACTTAAAACCAGTTCAATAAATGATCAATGATTAGCTTGAGAAATATTGAAACGTATAGGCTACTTGCTTAGTATTGACCCAATGGTTCCTATCATGAGTTCTAGATCATGACTCAATATTCTTCCTTACATTTTGTCCTCTTATTTTATGTGTTATATTCAAACTAATTGTTCCACACTTAGTTTCTCTGTATAATAGTGATAACAGTGTTTGTGAATAATCTTGTTGATTTTATCTTATTTTATTGATGTAGTACATTTACTTTAGGCTTTAAACTGATAACATACCAACTAATAAACAGTTAGAAACAAGTAATTCACATTTGCACAATTCATCTATTCGTCAAAATTTAACAAGTAAGTAGTTTTGATGATTATCAATTAGGGACCTGCTAGGTTTGAATCTTGCTTTTACACAAAGGGAAAAGCAAGATTCTCCGATACAACACAGTATGCACCAATTCAATCACAATTGACGGAGAAGATTTGGAAGACGTAAAAACCTTTACATATTTGAGCAGCATCATTGATGAACAGGGTGGATCTGATGCAGATGTGAAGGCGCAGATCGGCAAAGCAAGAGCAGAATATTTACAACTGAAGAACATCTGGAACTCAAAGAAACTGTCAACCAACACCGATGTCAGGATTTTCAATACAAATGTCAAGACAGTTCTACTGTATGCGACAGAAACCTGGAGATCTACGAAAGGCATCATCCAGAAAATACAGGTGTTTATTAACAATTATCTACGCAAAATACTTCAGATCCGTTGGCCGGACACTATTAGCAACAACCTACTATGGGAGAGAACAAACCAGATTCCAGCGGAGGAAGAAATCAGGAAGAAGCGCTGGAAGTGGATATGACACACATTGAGGAAAGCACCCAACTGCGACACAAGACAAGCCCTCACATGGAATCCTGAGGGCCAAAGAAAAAGAGGAAGACCAAAGAACACATTACGCCGAGAAATGGAGACAGACATGAGAAAAATGAATAAGAATTGGATGGAACTAGAAAAGAAGGGCGAGGACAGGGTGGATTGGAAAATGCTGGTCGGCGGCCTATGCTCCATTAGGAGTAACAGGCGTAAGTAAGTAAGTAAGTAAGTAAGTAAGGTGACCAAAGACCAATAAGCCAGCTATTTGATGAGTCCCAGCCCCGCTAACTAGGGGGAGAAGTCCAAGTATATTCTGCAAGCAGCCAGAAACCAGCGATAACAACAAACACAATTCAAAACGTATATATACAGTACAAAACCGTCCTTGGGGAGAGTTACCAAATAGCATACTAAAAGACAAAATGGAGTGATCGCATGATTTCAGAGGCAGAATTAGGTTGCAATACCTGTCTAGTTCACTACGACCCAACTTTCGAAGCAGCAAGCGGACCTTCCAAGCATCATCCTGATTAGCAAAGTCAAATTTGAATAAGTCTTCGTAACTTCGAAACCACATATCAAACGTGACATTGGATTCGGGATCGTAATGAAACTCGCAGATACTGTTAGCAATACCATCAACTGGTGGCAGCTGAATTCAATCATTTAAACTATCTAATCGTATGATCAGATGATAAAGTAGACAATGAGACAAAATACTTATTTAGAAGCTATAAACCTAAATTCCATTATTCATAATGGATGAATCTAGCAAACATATTTGGCCAGAAGCAAGACACTTCAACTCGAGGTATTTAAATCCTAATACTAATCTTTTACATAGTGACATGAGAACAACCCATTTTACTTTTAATACAAGCATGTTATCAAATAGGATAACCAATAATAAAAATGATTTATATTCATTTCATTTCTTTCTATTTTATACAGATCAAACTACTGTAACTCGTGGTTGTTTAAGTGATTTAATAATGAATACACAATATCGTTTAGATATGCCACAACTTCGTCGTCATGGTTACTGTGTTAATTCTCGTGATTATCAACATTATTTATTAAAAGTTTTAAAGGGGAAAACTTTAGTTGAAACTGCTATGGGATTATTTAGTGATGAGAATATGGATTTTAAACGTTTTTGTTATTGTAATGATTTTAATGGTTGTAATCATGTAAATAATTTAAAAGTTTCAACAATTTTAATTTCTTTTATTATAATATTGACACTTATATGGATTCATTGAAATATTTTTATTTCCATTACCTATTTTTTATCGTTTTCATTCTAACACTACTTTTAAACTTATAAGTAGTTAAAGTATTTTAACTAAAAATATTCTGATTCTGATTCCTTTAGAATGTATATAATCGTAAGTAAATGTTTGGAACTGTTAATTTATAACGTTTGATAATATTTTGTAAACTATAAAAGAAAAATTTGTTTACAATAGAAAAGATTTTACAGTTAAAAGTTGAATTCTACAATAATTTTCATGTTTTTTTTCAAAAGGTGGTGGTGGTTAAGCGCTCGCGCGTGAGACTGATAGGTCCTAGGTTCGAATCCCGCGAGAAGGATTCGTGGATACGCACTGCTGAGGAGTCCTAAAATAGGAAAAAACGGTCGTCCAGTGCTTCCATGTTTTAGATGGTGCCCTAACTTCAATTAACTCATGATCTCAACTATTGAAATGTCTTTAAATATTTGTGAATTGATTTTGTCTTTACGTTGTCATAGTAACTAAAGAACAATTTTGTATAATTCTACTTAAGTTATAACTAATAATTTAAAGATTATAATATTTTCGCAGGTTTAACTGTACTTGAAAGTATGCTAATCATCTACTAGGGATTGAAGTATATTTTTATAGTTTCTTTTTCTCAGACAATCTATTAGATTTACAGATTGTTTTTTCGTCTCAATGTGTTAGTCTAGTTAGATTTAATGCTGATGAGGGTGGACTACTCAAGCGTCTCTTGACTAATAAGGAATCTCTAGTAATATTTGTGGAATATAGATCAAAAGATATTGCACCCTCTTGATAACTGCTGGGTGCAAGTGCTGTTTCAAGTCAAATTCTTACTGACTATATGTATTCTTTTATTCTAGTAAAATGGTATTGACCGAACAAGCTATAAGTCGATATCAAAAAAAAGGAAAATTGGAAGATTTTAAGGGATTTCTTGATGAGTATCAAGTATTTTCTAAACGTCATTAAATGATCTGATCCAAGTAAATTTGGAAATCCCACTGCAAAGTGACAGAGGTGGTCTACTAAGGATCTGAAAGATAAACTTTCACAGAACAATGAATCAAACTTGGATGGTTCAATCTAAAGACTGTAGTGTCATGGTCATTGAGTTGAAAAGTCATGATACTAAAGTATTAATTAAAAGGTTATGAAATTTAATACATGGGAAAAAGGCGAATATCACAGGCACTTCATTTCATGTTAAATCGGACGCTTAGAATGTTCCTGTTTATATGCTAAGAAAATAATAAGAATTGATAAGATAGTAGATTGGGGGTCATGTCATTGAGAGATAGAGTTATAAGCAGAATCTCACTGACCCAAATAGGAGACCTTGTACAAAGCAATGAAATAACCTCCAACCAGTTTGTTTTCTAGTAGTCAGATCTTGGAAACGAATACTATCAAGGACTGTATAGAGGTATCGTTCGTTTTAGAAGTTTTACATATTAATCCTTGTAATGTACTCGTTAATTGGTAAGAGCAAATGTGAAATTGTAATATACGTACAAATGTCCTTTTGCTTAAGAATTATATGGGAATAAGGCTTGTGACATTGTCAATAGTAAGCTGAGTTTAACAGCCATCACACTATGGTGGAGATCATATATATTAGCTTAACCCATAAAGTTGATGGTATTGTATCAGGAAAAAAATTAGGCTTTGCAGTAAAAGCAATCGGTCCTTGATAATGAGGGATTTCAATGAACCTGCAGAAAAATGAACAGACTTTTCTATGTAAGATCCAACAATGTATTCTACACTGTGCTACTTATAACTATAATGAAGTACAGCTTGTATTCGAATCCAAAAGTTTTGGTTTAAACCAGAGACCTTCTTTATTGGGCATGTAATAATAATAACTGTTATTATTGTTATTATTATTATTGAGGATAGTGGTGTTGTGGTGTCTGAGCTGAACACTTTAGTCATGGAGCTTATATTGCTCTTCTAAACAACACCATTACCATTTACTTCAAAGATAAGTGACCTATAAAAATTTCACCACAAGTGACTAATAGCTTGTTCTGTTTATCTGGGATTCTATCAGTAGTTGTTGATAACTGTTTATTCATTGTCTGTATTAAACATAAATCTAAAGACATATCAGAATTGACCAAATTTATCAGCTAATAAGGAGAGAGATCAATAACCGCAGGTTCAGAGTTTAGGTCAGGAGAAAAAATGGCTAAAATAAACATATGGCGGCGACCACACTGTTATGGACAACAAACAACAGAATCACATGTAAACAAAGGAAGCTGTTAGTTAGTTATGGAGAAATTCTTATAGCTCACGTGTCCTTGAAGTAAGTGCTAATTATGTTTTTCATAAGATCAACGAAGGCTTCATAATCAACCAAATAGCTTATAAACTACAGTACCTCCAACACCCTTATCCTGGATTAATAATATGCTCCATCATCTGAATATTAAAGATATTGCTTATCTCAATATTTGATCACCACTTTCAATAATGACTACAAAATTTTGTTCTTCAGATGCAGATATAAAATATGATTAGTTATGGGACTAACACAGGCCACACGTCCTGGACTCCACTGCTTGGGACTTAAGACAATATTGAGGCAGTCCGCATAGGATACACATGTGCACACAAGAGACGGATCAATTGTAGTCTCAAACAACAAGATGGAAAGTGTTGTGACTTTAAGGCTAACTTGTTATAATGTGATTTATTCGCCAGTCAAAATACGACTTACACAATTTTGGCACTGTGCCAAATCAATGACGTTCGACCGTTATGAGGAGCCTAGCGTCCTTATTGGTCCTTTTTTCGCCTAGCCCGTCCACCTGAGTCCAGAACACCAATAACAGCTTCCACTATGTGAATCATTTCTTTCAAATATACTTAGTTTATATAACAGCCAAACAGACCACATCACACCATAAAATAGGAAATTATGTTTATACAAGATTAAGCCAAAAAGTGGCTGTGAATGTGAGAGACTGTAATCAATAAACTGAAAATAACTTAAGAATAATAAGTCGTATAACAGTAGTTAATGCGTCAAAATAAAGCTTATAATAAGAGCAATATAGATATACACAGTCTAGTTACTGAATAGTTATACCATTAATAGTTGTCGGAAGTTACCAGTAATTTAATCTTTACTAAGATATAACAGAAAGATAAAAGCAAATAATACCAAGTGAATTTAAACTTCACCCAATTGCATAAGCCATTGGCTATCACAATTCAGTAACTAAGTGAATAGTATGATGGTGTCTGAAGTGAACGATACTGAAATATAATCCCAGAATGAACATCAACTCTAGGATGTAAGTACATCTAGCTGACAAGTTCCAAATAGGATAAAACGCGCGTCCTAGTCTCCATTGCAAGCTAACATCCATCCTTGCTTATACAGTGGTAATAATTCAGATATTGATTTTCTTTTGAATCATATGATATTGAATTTAACCAATGAATATGAATTCTATATTAAACGAATAACCCTGGAACATATTGAACAGTACACATGATAAATTACAATGTATCATATCGAGTTAATGGAACATTAAACAACGAACATAAAACACGTACTGATAAACAAATGTAATGACATTTCTTATTGATCCATTGTTGAAGTTATCAAATGTGACTTTCCATAATTCATGTCTGTTTTTCTGTATTGAGTATTTAAGTGATGACATGATTGACAACATCATATACACAAAAATATTATCCAGAAGAAAATGGTACGTGAATCATTGTTGATTATTCAATTCATTATGAACTATTTGAAGGTTTCAACAGTTGAGATCATGATTCAATCAAAGCTAGATCACTACGAAAAAACCGGAAACACTGAACGGTCGTTTCATTCTAATGTGAGACTCCTTAGCAGTAAGCATTCACGATCCTGCCTCGTGAGATTCGAACTCAAGACCCGTCGGTCTTGAACGCAAGCGCTTAATTTTTAGACCACTGAGCTGGCATCCAATGGTGTTAATGTCAAACTTCAACTAATCCACGAAACTGAGCAACACACACACATGATCTCAACTATTGAAATTACTATAATATCCACAAAAACCCTTTCTGATATTGATTATTGTTTGTTCATATTTAATATTATTCATTTGCATTATTGATGTTAAGAAAGATTCATGACCAATCCACTCAGTTTTGAAAACGAAAATCCACCGAACTATCTACTGAACATGGAAATGATGTCCATATATATATATATATATATCACGAAACAGATTAGATTGTTATTCGTATGAGATTATAGAGTGTTACTGAGACTGTATTGGCTGGTGCTATGTCGAACACACATAGGTTATTCTAGCTTCTAGAGATAGCAATTCATTAATTCTTCTCCAGGTGCAATTTGACATTGTCAATCATTCGCTTAATAACCCTGAATGCTTTTATATGATCGTATATGTGTTAATTACTCACCCTTTTCATTATGTGTCTGTAACCTATTTCATTTTACTTTAAATATCGAGTCACATTCGATAAGAGAAGTTTAACAATGTGAAATGTGAGATTGTTATCCCCTGAAACCAATTCAAAACTGTTTCATAATACCATGGATTGATTTAGATTAGGTTTATACGCCATTGAATGCTGACTCGTTGATCACGACATTAAGCGTTTGTTTGTAAGATCAAGTGTTCTGATTTCGATGCTCGGATGTGGGGTCGTGGATGAGCAATGTAGAGGAGCCTCGTACTAACCCGAAACGGCCTTCCAGTACCTTTAGGATTTCAAAACCTACTTAACCTAGATCGATTGGTTATCTCAACAAATTTCGACAGCATTAGAAAAACAATGTGGGAGGACTTATTCAAGCCAAATTAATACCCGTATTTTTAAAGAAATGAGAGTAAGTTATTCATAAAGATCCATTCTTCCAACCTTCATTTAACTGTAAAATGATATCCGGTGATATAATAAATGTTATGGTATGATGAAAAATGATTCAAACTATGGAAACTTTACTATGTTTCCGAAACCCTATGCGAATGGAAGTACAGATCTTAACAGTTCTCACCTACTTAGCAACTTGTTTTTACATAATGTTAGGGAATCATACATCGTCAACATTAGTGCCAGTTCATTTGAACTTAGTTTCCACCGTTGTGAAAATAAATCTCAAAAGAATCATCGTCATCTACTAAACGATGATTGTTCATGAGTCGTTGGAAGTCAGAATCTTTGAGATCTAAGATTTGTGACACGGGTGGTGATTAAAAATATCTCGAGTACTCAAAATTTCAAACAAACGTTTACCAACGTAAATAACAGATGACAGAAATTATTCGAAAACCGTCAAACTTGTCAACTATACTCAACCTACTCTATTGAGTTAAGTCTTACAAGAATAGTCAATAGGCAAGTGTCAGAGAAGTCTGATCGATCCGATAGCCAGTAAACAATGAATACTGCATTTGCGGTGCAACCGATATCCACAGTCGAATACAATTAATATTCGTATACAAATTACATTCTCATAATTTATTTGAATGTTTTGTTTATCTCAGTATTTCACCTAGTTATCTGATCTTTTCGTGATCTAGAGCACTTTGACTTTCGTGGAACTTATCACAGAGAATCGGTTACTCTTGCTTACTGCACTCATCGTTTCTTGGATAAGTTTCAAACTTTCACAGTTATTGTTGATCTATTTGAAATACACTGTTGGAGTATGGTGCTTTTCTAAACGGAAAACACTTCGTCAGGCTGGTGAATGGGCAGTTGTCACTGGTGCATCGTCAGGTATTGGTGAAGCGTATGCAGAAGAATTGGCCAAAGAAGGTCTCAATATCATGCTTATCAGTAATCATGAGAAACAATTGTCGTCCGTTGCTAAACGAATCGCAAATACCTACAATGTTCAAACACGAATTGTGGTTGCAGATTTCACTAAAGTAATATCCATTCTCAATGAATCTGTTAATCATATAATTTTAAATTATTGTCATTGACTTAAGTAATCAGTTCGATTTGTCACTCGGTAAAGTTTGAATATAGTTTGACAGGAGTTGTGTATCACTAATTGCCTTGTTCATAAATTGATAGATTGTTAGTCGAGTTATTACTGACACTTGAGTCATGTGGTCATGTCAAAATGATCATCAATGATAACATGCATTTGAATGTAGAAATGTGATTGAAAACATTCTTTTCACGAAAAGCATTTCTGTGATTCACGTGCATGAGATATATCAGTTTCATATCAAAAACATTTCATCAATATTCCACAACTGTTTAGTAAATCTCAAAAACACCATTAGATCGAGGCGAGTAAATGTATGTATGTATGCATCTGTGTGTGTGTGTGCGGTTCTACATTGCCATACAATCTTTCTAGTACTCTATTCATATTGGACTTACAAATGATTGTGAGGTTCTTTATTTGCAGTGTCAATGTTGTTCTGTTTTCTCCAGTCGATGAGGTGGAATGGTGATTAGTCATCGAATATCTATTTAGTTTCTAGTAGTAAGACGAAAAGAGAAAGACAATTGTGGTTGATATAGAATGAGAGAGAGATAGAGAGACAGTTGACGTGTCTGCAGTGATGATAAAATAATAATAACAATAATAATGTAATGGTTACGACATAATTTATCAAACACGGAGGTAGACAGTGGAAATTTCGCTGTCAATCTTGTCACCAGAGTTGTTAAAACGATTCTTCAATTTAATACCAAGGCATCCAAACACGATGCACCCAAACTCCCAAACATTGATTGGATTTCGGTCGTGAATATTGGAGACGGAAAAACGCAGACATTTATTATCAATATATGGTATACTAGTTGAACAGATATCAGGATATTTGATCTCACACCCTCAGCGTATATCGCGTTGGCCATTGACAAACAAGGTAGAGAACTGCTCTCAGATTCATCTACAATTCACAATTCAAACGCATCAGAATAAATTGACATTTTTGAAATTTGATCAAATATTCAAACACTTAAACACTTAGGAAACATTCGAATGATCAACTTCCACCAATCTTGTGTTCTCTTCTGTTTAGAATGATGTTTATGAAATAATAAGACCTGCTGTTGACCAACTGTCCACAATTGCTTGTTTAGTTAACAATGTTGGTATGGTGTTACCCTTCGAGTTGTTTGCTGGAGAAGTTGATTCACCGAATGAAGAATCAATTAGAAATATCATTCATTGTAACATTTTATCTACACTGATAATGACAAGCATCATTCTGCCGAAAATGTTAACACAGAAAGGACCTAATCCTGGTATCATAAACATTTCATCTTATACAGCTTTAAAAGTGACGCCCTACTTGACAATTTATCCTTCAACCAAAGCATTCATTATTCAATTCTCTAGATGTCTGGCTGCAGAAAAGTATAAAAAGAATGTGATTATACAAACGATGTATCCATTATTTGTATCTACAAATATGACCGATTTAAGAGAAGCCACATATTTCACACCATCTGCTAAAGTCTATGCTAAAAGTGCATTGGATATGTTCGGTGTTGAACAACAAACCACTGGTTATTTTCCACATGAGTTAAAAGCATTTGTATACAATTTGTTGCCAACATCATTGTGGGTAAAAATAATCGAACGTACGTTCACTCCAATCAGTAGACAATTGAAGAAGGTTGACTAACATGAATGTTGTTTTTCAACTTTCCTGAGAAACAGTAAAACCTAAAAATGAACATTTCAAAGCTTTTAATTATATCACAGTTTTATGAATTTATTTGAAATTAATGAGACGTAACTTTATCTGAGAAATCAGTCGTATTGATATAAAAGTTACATTATGGTAAACTAGTTTTCTTATGTTCAATGGTCAGTTACCTTTCAATCCATAGTTATCTTGGTCACAAATTCTTCTCAAAATTTCGTATCGAGTCATCTTATAATGAATGTTTCGACAATTACCATTTCAACGTCATTAGTCACGGTTTTACTAATTAAATCCCGTTTCCATATGACTAACCCTCAAAGATACAATAAAACTAGTGAAAATATCAGCATTTTTCTCGTATATCATCGTTCATTAATCGAGAAATAATTTTTCGTTTATTTCATTTAGTATTCTCGACTAGTTGTTATTTAGGCAGATACTTGTTGAGAATGGAAATAGTAGATGGCCTGACTGAATATTAATAACACTGAGTTACCAGGTTAAGTCTTTGATTCACTATTGCTTTAATAATTTGATTCGAGAGTAACTGTCTCGTCGCACAGTTACACCCACGCTGTGAGTTTTTTGGTCATTAAAACACGAAATCCAATTCTAAAAATGTCATATCATCTTCTCAAGATAAGGATTGGCCAACCTTAACACGACCGGAACACCGTACTTACCCACGTAAATGCAAAATATTTTCAGAAAGAGGGATGCCCAAATTTCACGATTACTCATGGATATCCGCATTACATAAGAACTGGTTTCAGTTTCAGTTTGGAAAGGAGAGGAAGCTCGATGACCTGTGTCAGTCCTGGCAATGATGGTTTCTCAGTTGATCTAACTTTCTTTTGAAAGAGTCGATGGATGGAGCCCCAACCACGTGCTGAGGTACTGAATTCCACTCGTTGATGACTCGACGGGAAAGTCGATAGTCAGCTGACAAGTAATTTGTCCTGGGCTTGTGAACTTTTTTGGAGTGTCCTCGCAAATTCTCTGTTTTGGAAGTCAAGAAAAATGAGGGCATATCAGATGCAAATTTATCACTAAGCAATTTGAAAATTGTAATCAAGTCGCTTCTAGTTCTTCGATATGACAACAGGAATAGGTTTAGCTTGACCAGTTTAGCATCATACGGGAGCTTCTCTATTCCGGGAATCAGCTTAGTTGCTGTTCTCTGAACCCTTTTCAAAAGCTTACTGTCTTTTTTGAGCAGGGGCTAGCCGCTTGTATGCAGTGCTCAAGTTTAGGACGTACAAACACTGTATACAAAGTCAGAAACGTTTTAGCGTTGACATAACTAAAAGCCTATAAAGTTCTAAAAACTTTGTTGGCTATTGCACGGGAGTGTACAGTAGTTTTTAAGTCTTCGCTAACGATGACTCCTAAGTCATTGTGTGTCTGGACAATAGGTATCTCAGTGTTATTCACTGTGTATGTATCTGTACCTTGATGACCGATGTGCACCACTATATACTTTGGAGTATTTATCGACAACTGCCAGGTTTGAGACCATTTAGATAATTTCTTCAGGTCACTTTGGAGTTTTAAGCTATCCCAGACAACCCAAAAAGAGGAAATAAAGACGAAGAAAGGGGAAATAAAGGGGTAAATGCTTTGGTAGCGAAAGGGGAAATAAAGGGAAAAACGCGCCAGAATGTCGCCTTTTTCGCCTGTCCGGGGGAAATAATGCGGATTTTCCCCTTTTTCTCCGTTTTGTCGACAAATTACCGACTTATCGCCTAAATATCCGCCGAATTGTCGCCTAAATTTCCGTGGAATTGCCTACTTATACGCTTAATTTTCTACTTTTCGCCTAAACACACACATAACCCCCTATTTTCCATCCACTGACAGAACCCCAAAGGTCTCCTATGTTCGCCTTTATTTTCAACAACAGACCAAAATATACCTGCAATGCAGTGGAAAAGCGGTACATTTTTGAAAAATTTTATTTAAAAGGAAAAGCGTATTATTGTACAACACTAGAGCAGAAGCTTAAGCATCGATTATTTTGCATATCGAATGCAATTGCTAATTCATTGTTATTTGAAATTATCTGAAAGAGAAGGAACAGGTGATGTTTTATTTATAAGGAATGTGCATATAACCAAAAGTTAACTGACACTCAAACACACATTCTCAACACTTCAACAGTTTCCCATGTAAGTAAAAGAGTAAGCTGTTTGAAAAAACAATGTTTATTGAAATCTAGGTAGAACATCAAAACAATTGCACGGACTATTCCCTTATGCCACGTTCGTTCGGCTATTGAGAATTGAGGTAGTCGTCCTGTGAATTCTGAATTTAAAAAAAGAAGAAGTCACAACCATATCTCAATGACATGCTTTGGCACAGCTAAATACTTGAAGCTGAACTTACGGTTATGTCCGTTATGATTCACCGTGTACCTAACAGAAGAACGAGCAGATGCGTCACATATAACAGCCGCCAACTGAATAGCTATGCACTTATTAAACTTGACACTGAAAAGACCCACGTCAGTAATTTCTTTTATTTCAGAAATTCGTTGAATTCTGCGGGTTTACTATTCCCTCCGTAGATCCCTATAATGAACACGTCACTAAGCCTAGGGGCAATGATCCGTCCTAGTATAGGCCATAACTGTTGATTGGAGCTTCTAGACATAGAAAGTCCATCTATATTGACATACAAATTTAAAGAGTCGAAATCAATAGTACACAACCAAAGCTCAACGTATCTAAGCAGATTGGTTTTCAATCCTAGATGGTAGTAAACCCCCAAGGGTGATATCACCCTTACTTCGTTTCGCTCTCCATATATTGTGGGGAATTTCAAAGCTCAAAAATCAGACTGCAACACAAGTACGTGTGTTAAGTTGCGGCTGTAGCTTCAAACTAATTAAGTTTGGGATGATGAATAAATGTCAAATTTAGTTAAGATACGTGCTACTGACCAGTTCAAACGGAAACAAAGTAATTGGGGAAATGACGGTTCCAGATGTCATTGTAAATATAGATGTACACACTGATTCGGTCGCCAGAATGGTTGGATTTTATTATAATGGTTAAGATCTCTTCAGGAACAATAGTCGCTCACACACATTCTACAAATTCGATTTTCCGCATGACCTTCGCACTCTGATTGGTTGTGATGGTTTTTAATTCGCCAAATTGTTGCGTGCTCGAAAGTCACATTCTGCTACCATAGTAACGACTTTTGTACCAATTTCGTTTGTGTTACTTGTTCTACCACAAATATCGAGTTACCCACAATTCTGTCCACTTTGTGTTTTGGTAGTCGAAGTTTGATGTGTTGGTTATAACTGGATGTTGTCAGTTCCGAAGAGAACCGATCATAATATGGAAGCTCAATGGTTTTCGTTCTTAAATTCGTAACATCCCAAGCTCCAAATTTCAGGGAAATGTTGGTGTTAATCCTCATAATATGTGTTGCGCAGTTTTCCGGATTAACATTTCATCACCATTGCATTATTAGACCTTTGAATATTAAATTACAATGAATAAATATGAATTTTAATAAAATATTGAGCTTTAATCAAGAATACTCTACCGATTCTAAGCTTTTGTTTTAGCACGTCAAAAAGACACGAGACAATGAGTTGTCGGCTTTAAACCACTTTTTCTAAATTCTCACGCCATGCAGGTGGGTTATTTGTACTGTCCACAATTTCGATTAATGCTTTTGTTCAGTCTGGCTAAAGTGAATTATCTCTTTCAGAATAATAATTTACAGCTTGACAAGATCGCTAAAAGGCGGGCTAAAGCATCCAGAGACTTAAGGTTGCTGAGCTGTCTCAAAGCAATTTTTCACAAAAGGCTGCGGAAGTTAAAAGCTGGGTTCGTCAATAAGTACCAGTTAACGACCAGTGACGATGGGAACGACAATTTATTTGTTGTCAGAGAAGTAGGGACCACAGCAGCTACAGAGAAGTGTAACATTATTGTCTCACAAACAGCCACTGCTTCATGTAGTGTTCATCTAGTACAGACAACGGTATAGTCTAGCTTTATTTATTAACAAGTTATAGATGGTGCAATTTCACAAATGTCTTCACCCTTTTACGTCCAGTAATATCGGTATATTCAAAGGTTTTACCTTAAGTCACAAGTGTAGGTGGATTGCACTGACAGATACTTTGCAAGTGTATTTGTATACCGACACAACATTATAGGGTTATTGTTCCCCTTTTACATACATACCGATAGAAAATGTGACATCATTTCTTGTAAGATCCAAACTAAGGTTTGGACTGAAGAATAGCTTTCTAGGTGGGTTAGACACGCGCCCGCGCCCGTTTGAAACCAGAACAAAGTAATTAGGTCAATGACGGTTCTAATATCCATCATAAAGTTAAACGTACATCGTTACCTAAACAAATATGACCCCCAGCTATCCAACCAATATTTGTGCAATTAATCAAATCTAAATTGCAATAAATAAAGAAGTTAATAAAGGATGCAAGAAAATTACCAATCACAACAAATAAATTTTGTTCTATCCTGTCTGGATAGACCACGCACAGATTCGTTCAAAAGATAATAGTTGGTTGCTTTATAACACAGAGTGTTTTCGATTCTGGAAGAGTGCCTCAGTTCACAATCAAAAATGCGCAATTCCAGTCAATATAAGCAACGCAATCAAAAGGATGAACAAACCAAAATGGCTGCCGCCAAAACTAAGTACCAAGTAAAATAACATAAATGCAGTTCAGGACGAAACTTAGTGAAGGCGTAAGAAAAATAAAAACTATAATGAAATAGAAATATTAACAAGTCAAATGGAATCAAAAAGACTAACAAAATGTACAACTAAAGGAATCAGTGGGAAGAAACTGCAAGTGTATACATGGAGGGATTTTCACACACAAAAGATTCAAAATGGATCTTAATGTTCTCAAGGCCTGTCGCGAATATAATCTTTTATGCAGTAAGTATGTCTGTTGGTTAGTGATTTGGCGTCATCCATCA